CATGGAGTTAATTAAGTTGGATATGATTTCTTTTATGCCACGAGTTTTATTTGAGTGTTCCTACCTTTGTTTATGTTTTTAATCGATGAGATGTTGTTATTTAATTGTTCAGTTTATGTGCTGGATAGATATGATGGTTATTAGTTGTTCATTTTAGAAGTTTGTACAACCAGTTCGGTTGCTGGGAACTGGTCCTTACAGGTCTCTGTTTATGGTCCTTTTTTTGTCAATTTTTTTTCTATGATGTATAAGGGATTCATTAAAATCCCTTTCGATGTCATCAAAGCTGCTAAGAGTTTATTACATTTGTTTCGAGATATGATTTAAACCTGGGATTGGAGAATTTCTGTCTGTGTAAGGGGGTTTTAAAATTAATTGATTGGGGGCAAAATCCAAATTGGCTGCTTTAATACTATTGCGTTTGGTTTGTTTGTTGTGTTACCTTGTATTACTAGTGTATCTTTGAAAAGCTTTATGGACCAAGTTGTTGGATAACAATAATTCGTAGTTTGTTGACGTGTGAAATTGAGGAGCAAACCTGATCTACACGTGTGTATTGAGTTATGATTGTTTTTCAGTCAGTGTAAAGTATAACACTAGGCATCTCATCTTGCAGGAAGGTCTGCTTCTCGTTTCCGAGGTGTTGCCCGTGCACCAGTGCATAATGCTCTAGCCAAGTAAGTATTTATGTGATCTGGTATTTGAGACTTATGTTCATTTATGAGGGGTATTAACATGTTTTCATTGTCAAAAAAAGTGATTCGAGTGATTCATGCTACTTTCAGTGTTTTATTATTGCATTTTTCGAACTGATGGTTGAATGGATGGTTATGTAGCGCTCGTGCTCCCACCAGCACCAATGCAAAGCGGGAATGGATCCATTGGGGGAGGTTTGGCGCTCTGTTGCAGATGGTGAGTTCAGGAGTCTTTGTTGTATAATGAACAAACTCATACAATGGCTCATATAACCTAACAATGGATTGTTTTTTTCTTTTTGTTAACAGGTCTGGCCTTTGGTACTGGCACTGCGGTAGCTCACAGGGCTGTTGATGCTATGATGGGCCCACGTGTCATCCATATGAAACCGTTTCTTCATTGCCCCTGCAGCTGCACCAGCACCAGCACAGCACCAGCACCAGCACCAACATCAGCACCTAACACCGGCAGTCTTGGAGTGCTAATGCTTGTGGTGGTCATTCAAGGCTCTGAAGATGTATGAATCTTTCCTTCTTTCCTCCTTTAATTTGTGGATTGGCTTAATTTAGGTTTTGCTAGCATATTTCTTATTAAGATTTTTTTTTTTGGCATGTTTTGCTTTCTGGTTTGTGCTTGGTGTTTGTAAATTTTGTATAGTTCTAAACTTTGGATCACTTGCCCCAACAATCAAGTTATGGACCTACCAACTCTGGTTTTATAAGATAGCCACATACGCCAATTATCAACCAGAATGTTCTAATCTATATTTATTGATCTCTGAGTGATCCGATACGATCATCTGTCTCCTGTCATGTCTAGGTATAGTTCCATGGATATCCTATTTCAGAAATTAGTGATTCTTTATCTGATTCCTGAAAATGACAAGTCAATAACTGTGTGATGCGATCTTTTTAATGTTTTTGGTATTGTTATGGTTGTACTTGCTTTACAATGAATGATGTTCTTTTGTCTCGCTGCAGTGCTGAACATATGGAAGTGTATCAGTAAGTGCCAGTTCTACATGGATATGTTGCAAGAATGTCGCGGAGCTCTGGAGCTGCCTTGGGGTTTGATATTATTATGAATTAAGATTAGTTCTATTGCTTAATGATATTAGGGAGAAATTCTAGAAATGAGAGACTAGAGTGTCAAAATTTTACAGAGGAATTTACTGTCTAGCTAAATGTTTTGAACTTCAATAAACTTCTAATGCAATAATTTTTGGATGAGTTGACATAGTTTTGAATCTTCACTTCTTGATATTTGGTGATAGTGTATATGAGATGAAATAACAATTACTTGCTGGTTTTAATACAGAAAGAGATCATGCGATCTAAGTGGGTGGTTGATAGCTTCATTGTTGCTGGGTTGCAAGGAAGTCCATTACTTTTAATATTGCATATGATATGACTAATACAGACGTGAAAAGTACCCTTTAGAGAGAGTTTATGTGTGAAATTCTGTGATTTTGAGTGATTGACTTTGATCATTTACATGATGGATTTGGATCAATCAATTTAATATTTAGGCTAGTATAAATTGAGGGATCAGAATATTTGTATTATACGTGCAATTGGGTGAGTAGTAATAACCATGTTTTGAAACCGGATCGGACGGTTAACCGGGTTTCGTCAATAATTCGGTTTATTAAGTTAAAAAAAACGATATTTTCATTTAAATCGTTTTGACGGTTATTAGACCGTTAGAATAATATCAGACCGCCGGTTCAACAGCATCGATGAAAATCTGTCCAACAAAGTGATTGTTCATTGTTTTAAAAGAAAATCCAGCTTTTTTTCTCAGCTTCGTTTCTTTAATCTTTCATTTGTTTCTTCGTCTTCTTCGGCTTCCAATCAATTCATTCATCTTCCTTCCACCTTTATTCATCTTTAGTTAGATTTGAGCTTAGAAAGTGAAAGAAAAGAAGATAACGAGAAGATCTGAAGAAGCAAAAGAAGAAAGAGAGAGAACGAGAGAGAAAAGAGAAAAAAAAAAAGTAAAAGAAGAAATGAAGAGCGAGAAGAAGAGAAGAGAAGAGGAGGTGAGAAAAGAGAGAATATGAAAAAAGTGAAGAAGAAAGAGAACAGAAGCGAGAAAGAGAGGGGGAAAAAAAAAGAAGTAGAGAAGAGAAAGAGAAGATGATGTGACGTACCGACATGTGAGAATATAAAGAAGAAAGAGAGGAAACAAATATAAAGGAAAAAGAGAGAGGAAGATGAAATGACAGTAGAAAGAAAAATATATATATATATATATATATATTTTTTTTTTTATGACATCACCTTTTGATTCGTCGTCGGACCGTCCAACTGAAACGCACTGACAAGTCATTTCTGGTTCGAGTTTTAGAACATTGGTAATAACTAAAAAACATAACGTTTAGTTATCAAAGGGATTGATATGTCATAGATTTTGTCTCACAAAGTTTTTACATGAAATTAAACGGAAGGTTTTTTTTTTTTTTTTTTCTCATAATACATTAATGTTGTCAGAGGGGGATATGTTGTCTCAATGAAGATTTTCTGTAAAACAACTCAGGACTTCCATGAAAAGAACCCCAAATCAATTGGGGATAGCCCGCATGATAATTAGGGATGGTAGCAGGGCACGGCAGGGCCGAATTTCATTCCCATACCTCGTTAATTTTTACTCGTCCTCATTACGGGATGACGCGAAACCCCATCCTCGCGCTGCGGGAAATGACCCTGTCCTTACCCTGCCTCGCCCCTAAACTGGGGAGAAAAATCTTCGAATGCCAGGAGAAAATCCCCACCTCATTCCTTGCACTATAGGGAGAAAATCCCCGTACTGCAGGAGTAAACCTGTATGGGCAAAAAAAGATCTTGGGCCATCAGGTCCAAGAGCGGACATCTACTACATGGCCAAGGCCATGACCCAATTGGTGGGCCTTCATTAAAGTTGCACCGTAGACCAGCCCATCACCATCCAGGCTAAGTACGAAGGGGTCATCCAATCATTAAGCCATACCTCGAATTGAGCTCACCGATTAGTCTACTGGGTTTAGGCCCATCAACCTATGTTGCTCTCCAAGAACCCGAAGTTCTACTCAAATCCTCATTCATCCCTTCCTATATTCATCTACATCCTAATGTTAAGATATTAAATTTATATGATTAGAATCTTACGCCTTCAAAGACAAGTAAATCAGACTTTCTATTTATCCAAACTCTGCAATTATAGACTCAGTTTTACTAGATTCGAAGATCTATCTTCACTATATAAACAGAGGTTTGCCTCTCATTAAGGATCTATTATTCAATACCACCTTTAGCTCCTAAGAATTACACCTCGCCCACTAAATAGCCTTTTTAGCTTTGTGACTTGACGTCAGAGTGCTTACGATAGACACCACACAGTTTTTTCGTAACTTCACACTTGTTTCTTTGTGTGTGGGTCAACATCGTCAGTAACCTCAACCTAATAGGATCAATCTATTCGTAATCGTAGATTTTTATGTCTACAAAAGTCTTCAATGTGGCCACATCCTTGTAGGTACAAAATCCCTGTTCCATTATACTCACACATGTTAATATTTATGTGGATTTTGTGTAACCAAGAGATCTGTTTTGCTGCCGTTCGCTGATAGGAAGTAGAAATGAGTGCAAGTCAAATATGATTTAAAATAAAGTTAGCGTCTTCATAAAGAAAAGTTGATATTAACCATTGATCTTTAATGTTTGAGGAAAGCCATAAAAATATTTAATAAAGTCCACTACAGCTCATTTAACTTTAATCCACTTGGAAACTTATATCGAGGTTGCTTTTTCTCATTAGCAGCAATTGAGGTCAATCAAAGGTATTTTCCTGTTTGTATAATAAAAATCTCATTCTTGCTTTAGCCAAAACTAAGTGGTTGAAATTTTGCAGCAATCACAGATAATGATAATAAGCAAACTAAGTCTAATCAACAAATGTTGGATGTCCTTTGATTAGACTTTCTTCGCCAAGTTTAACGCTCCTCATACATGTCTGGTACAATTTTGACACGAAAAACAAGCCCAACAAATTATATCATACAAAAATTAAAAACATCAAATTTAAGTGTCTTGGGAGCAAAAATACTGCCAGTAGAGACTAGAGGATAGGATGGTAAATATCAGGGCACCGGGGTTCAAATCCCAAATTAAAATTAATATTCATATCAGCACTCAACATATATATTACGTCAATTCCTTAAAGCTCTAAATCTACTACTTTTTTTTGTTTTCGGATAATGTTTTCTATCCATAACAAAAGCCGATTTGGGTAGTGCTGTATATTCAATATAAACATAAACAGTAGATGAACTTTTTGGTTTAAAAAATCCTTCATGTAAAATACTTTGGTTTCTTTCTTGGACTTTTGGACAACCAACCCAAAGAAAAGAATCTACTTAATATATTACATTAATACATTCCCAATAATAAATCAATATACCATCTCAAAAGCTCCTTCGTTTCGAATTCACTCTGACTTTTCTTTGCTTTTCGTTTAAGCAGTTTCGGGAACTTCACTTTTCTTTCTACTACGGGCCAGTGGCTTATCTTTTTTCATTAAATAAGATGGAGCCGGCCAACCGCCATCTGCCCAAAGAATTTGGATAGCCACTGTGGAGGCGTATGTCTGATCATTTATCTTTCATTAAAGCTTGAAAGGGAACGGCGAGAAATGGGTTGGGGAACTTTCCTTGAGATATTAGCAAAACTATTCTGTGCTTTCTCTAGGTTTGTGTTTCTTCAACTTCCCTTCGTCTGAAATTAGATGCTACTCAAATTTTAATATGTTGGTATTTCTATTTCCTTTTATATATTCGTGATTTACGTTGTCATTTGATTTTGTTTTTCTTTGTCGGCAGCTCGCCCTTTACTTTGGTTTATCCCATGTGAGTGGCTTTATTTTTTGTTCAACTTCAATTTATCTTCTTCGATAGCACTTAGAATTGTGGCTTTTTTTTTTCCCTTCTTAAAATTATTTGTTTATCTTTTAAAGGTATGCTTCAGCTCGGGCTATAGAGAGCGATTCCCACTCCATAAATCAGCAATGCCTTGCTTGCTGGGTACTCTTTGGTTTAATTCTTTTTATGGAGATGGTGCTTTCAGAGCTATTGAAATGGTAACTTCAGGCTCTGTAATATCTGTAGATCTGTTTTGGTTTATATTATATTGCAAAATTTGCTAGTATTTTAGATCGACATTTAACTGTGTGAGTATCTTCTATTTTAAATGAGAAAGCACTTCGGGTTGCTATGTATTATTGATGTTTTGACACTTAAGAAGATAAAAGACTTGGAAGTTTTTATACCTTTTAAAGCACAGTTTTATGGTGACTTGTACTTAGGGTGGTAACTGAATTTCAGATCTTGAATTTACTCAGTTTTATGTGGTTAAGAACTTAAGTATCGTATTAGTCATTTTTTGTATATTGGCTTTCAAGTTTTGCGATTGACTTCAAATGAGTTTGCAACGATCGAAGTTTTCAGAATTTTTTATGGAGTAAATTTCCAAATTGAATGGAAGTTGATGTTCTATTTTTTCTGCCCTTTCTTATCTCATGTGTTAACGTAGGCATTCAAATTACTCTGTGATAGCTATGCCAATAGCTTGATTAATGAGGCTTGAAGAAGTAATAATTGTTTGTTTGTTGGCTGTAGGTGTACAGTGTTTCAATCCATCGAGTTTGAAACCGTGTTAGTTTCATTAGTTAACAGAAATATGTTAGATTAAATCTATGGCTTCTAGAGCATCCAAATGCATTTAAGCTCGTTCTGTTTTCCTCATTTGTGCCTAGGAGGGTGCCAATTTCATTGCATATCTCTGCTTGGATATTCTCAGTAAGGGTTCTTGCTTGATTTTGCTTTCAATGATAGGATTCCGTTTTGGCCTTATATCAAGGGTGTGGCAACCATCTTGCTGGCGATACCTTCTTTTCAGGGTGCTTCTTATGTATACAAACACTTCATCGGGGCTTATTTTCTTGAGGATTCACAAATGCGAAACATACTGTTTATCCCGAGGAAGAAGGACTTCATAGCCTGCATTCCTGATGCTGTTCATACAAATTATGTTCAAAATGGACTAGAGCAGTTGGAGAAACACACAATTTGCAAGGTAGGCTTTTTTCCTTGATGGTAAGCAACTCCATAATTTGTGGAGGGGAGCTGGATTGACTCTTACAAGTACATCTTGATTTTTGCCGTGTTACAAGCCTTGATTCGCTGCCTAACCCATAAGGGCCTTTTAAGTTAGAACTAAATCCAGCGATGTGATGATATAAAAATGTGAAAAGATCTAAACACATTGTTCTTTTTATTTGTACTGCTGCTTTAAATCCCTGAGCAAGCTAACTTACATCTTGATTCAGTGAAGCTTAACAGTTTTATTTAAAAAAATATTTTTTACCTGTGATAGGAAAATTTGGAGCCTAGTTGTGACATTTCAAAAGTGGAATATGCTTGGCCAACTCTTACAGTTAATAAAGCTCAGGGGTCGAGATGTGCTCTTTGCCAAGTCAGCACCACAAGTGAAAAATGTCTGAAGAAACACCTCCAAGGGAAGAAGCACAAGATCATGGAGCAAGAACTAAATTTACGTGAATTAGAGGCAAATAATACAAATAGGTCTTCATTAATGCCAATGAAAACCAAACATGGGGTGGCCTTACATGGGAACTTCAGCCCTATGCCGAGTGTCAATCTTAAAAAATGGAGCGGCTTTTATAAACCAATGACGTGGCATAGTTGGCAAAAGCCACCACTTGGATGTATAAAACTAAATACTGACGGATCTGTAGATCGGGAAAATGCTGGTTTTGGTGGTTTGCTCCGTGATTACAGGGGTCAGCCAATATGTGCCTTTGTCACTAAAGCTCAATTTGATGATGTTTTCTTGGTTGAACTATCAGCTGTTTGGAGGGGCCTGGTTCTTGCTTCTTGTCTGGGGATCAGGGTAATATGGGTTGAATCTGATTCAGAGAGTGTTGTGGAAACCATAAACGGACTGCGAAGTTTTAATACAAAGGCTAGTAGTTGGTTGAATGACATTTGGAGACTTCTTGGCAATCTTGAGAGGTTCTGTGTTTCTCACACATGGCGTGAAACTAATAAAGCAGCTGATTATCTGTCAAAGATGGTTCTGATGGGAAGTGACGTAGTATTATGGCCCAATGATTTTCCTAGTAATCTTTGTAATATCATCAAGGATGATGCTGAGGGAAGGTTGTATCGTAGGGGGTAATCTACTGAAAGACTATATCGCGAATATCATTCAAGCGACTTTAGTTTTATATATATGTATATATATTCAAGACGGAGGAGGTAAGAAGAAAGGGTGTGTGTATAATTTAGATTATAATCAATTACATATGGGAGACAGAAGACCTGGGGTTTCACTCTTAAGATTCAGCTTTAAAGATATTGAGGTGATTGATAAATTATGCAGTACTCGTGACTGTCCATTGGTGAAAGTTTGAGTCCAACTATGCTTCTAGGAGCAGAAGGAAACCAGACTATTCAGGTTATCAAAACTGTATATGATGGTAGGCTAAGTGATTCAATTAGTTAGTCAACATTTTAGATTATTACGTTTATGATTTATGTTTTCTTCTTGCTGAAACTTGAATGTTTGAACATTCCATGACAATGAGTAGTAATATGATATATCCAGCAAGGAACTGATGTGTACTGATGATTACAATAGCAATACCTGTCTTTGCATCATGAATATGTCTGCTCAACTATCCCTAGGAAGTTTGTTGGTTCGCTTGGGTTTGAATTCCCACTAACTATATAAGGGGTAGCTATTAGAGGTTATTGAACGTAACTTCAGTCTCAGGGTTTCGAAGGACTAGTTAAAATATACGTAAACTAGTTCGGACACCTATACCAAAAAAAAAAAAAAAAAAAAAGTGTCTGCTCGCTTCTCACGTAGCCCTCTTGTCTTAGAGCTTTGAATAACATATCTGAGCATTTTTTTAGATTCTAAAACCTATGCTAATGGCTGGCGCCTGGCACACCAAATGAACAACACGATTGCCTACACCTGCATTTGTGAAATTATATTGATTAAAAAACAAAGGAAGTCTTTAAAAAATTAGAGAAATTGTGGCAAGAATAAGTTTCAAGTAATAATTAATTAAATTTATCAATGTATTGTCACCATTTTCATGGATGTTGTAAATTTAACTGGTTTTTAAAATCTTTGTTAAGAACGATTTTACCCTGATAAAAATAAAAAGTGAAGGCTTCATTTCACGGAACGGCCCACCAGATGACCCAAGTGGGAGCTTGCCTAAGTAACGGTAAAGAATTAAATAAAAGCGGGAGCTCACAAATTTGAATTTCGAAACGAGTATAAACTTAATAATGCCATTAATTGATCACAGTTCACTACTCTCCCACAGAGAAAGAGTAAAGGCGAGGACAATTCCAATGTTTCTTCAAAAATTTCTCCTCCCTAAAACCTGAAAACCCTAATCCCAATTCTTTGTCTTATTGTCCTTCACCGCATAAAAGAACACACCGACAATATGGAGAATTACGATGCGGATTCAATTGATGCGGTACTCTGCGTCTCGGGTGCAAGATTGATTAAACGGGAGTTCCAGTACAGACATAAGAGGTTTATATAATTACACTCGTTTTCTTCTATTCTCAACTTTGTTTTTTCTTCATTTTGGCTTTTTTGCTAAACGATGGAAAAAGAAACCAAGACCTTGATTCTTTTTCGGTAACTTGGAATCAGAAGTACTTTTATTTTCAGTCAAATTGTTTCATACCTGTTTTGTTTCTTGAACCAGATAATCTTGTGACGTTTGTGAATGTGGAGGTGGGGCTATAAGAAAGGAGATTCTAGCGTTGACTTGGAGTCGGATATAGCTATTTTGAAGGAGGGGAGGTTTTGAGAACAAATGAAAATATAATTGATGGTGGTGATATGCCATCCATTTATCAGTGTGCAAGATTTGGAAATTTCAGTTACCGGTTCAGAAACTTGTGTCCTGGAAACTATTTGGTCGATCTTCATTTTGCAGAAATTGTCAACGCAAATGGTCCTAAAGGAATGAGGGTCTTTGATGTCTTTATGCAGGATGAGAAGGTAAGACAATTTTTCGGTTCCATTTGATTGATCCATGTCAATTTCTAAAGGTTCTTTATTTTGGGGGAAAATGATAGGTATTATCAGAGGTTGATATCTACTCTATAGTTGGAGCTAACAAGCCGTTACAAGTCGTGGATGTTACAGTTTCGGTTCTGATGGATGGAGAATTATCCATAAGGTTTGATGGAGTTTGTGGAAGCCCAATAGTTAATGGGATTTGCATAAAGCGTGCCTCAAATTTGCCCTGTATGTACTCTAGTCACCTCTGCTTTGCAAGCTTTTAACACATTTGAGAGACCTTCAATCTCAACATTCATATGCTTTATTTTGTTAATTGATAACAGCATTCCAAGTGGAACATGGTATTCTCACATGTAACAGTTGTGGAACCGAAATTGAAATTTCATCAGCTCAGGTTGGATATAGTTTCATAATTAAGGGTAAAACTTTGAGAACTAGGAGTCTTGCTCATGTTGGTTTAAAATTGATGTTCAGGATAAACTTATTAGGATGAAATCGATGGCCAAGTATGAAAAAAAGATAGAAGAGCTGAAAATTCAGTGCCAGCACAAAGCAGATGAATGCTATGAAGCCTGGATGTCATTGACAGCGGCAAATGAGCAACTAGAAAAGGTCAGGATGGAGCTTGACAACAGGTTCTTCCAAAACATGTGTCTAGGTAAGGTGTGATTCAACGGGATCCGTCATTTTACCACGTGGTTAATCTTGCCATGGTCATTCTCTTTGGGGTTTTTTTATCAAGCCAATTCTGTGACTTGAGATGTATCTTAAATATTTAGTGGTAAAAAGTTTTTGAAATTATTCTGATTATGCTTTGATTTTATTAGATCAAGAATTACAAAAGAAAGCAGCTCAAGTTAGAGAAGTTTCTAGTCAATATGAACGTGATAAGCAGCGGTGGGCTGTTGCCATTAATGAACTAGAGAGGAAAATAAAGGTCAAATATTTACACGCACGTTAATTTTTTTTTTAGTTTGGCGTACCTCTTCAGAAATCAATTAATAGCCTGTTTTATTTGTTGATTTGAATTGCAGACCATGAAAGAAGAGCATTCTCAGCTCTCCCGTAAGGCCCATGAGTCTGCCGATTCAGTTCCTGAATTGAATAAGATGGTATCCGCAGTTCAATCATTGGGTAAGTTTGCATCACCATCCAAACTTTGTGTCTAAAGTTTTGACTAATACTTTATTCATTTTGTAGTTGGACAGTGTGATGACCTAAAGTTGAAGTTTAATGAGGAGCATGCTAAGAGAAAGAAGCTTTACAACCAAGTGCAAGAAGCAAAAGGCATGTTTGATACATGAAATTTGATGTTTTTCTTCAACATTATTGGCTCGTAGATTGATTCGACTCAACCTTGTTCATCTAACTCTACATTTCAGGGAACATTCGTGTGTTCTGTAGGTGCCGCCCATTAAGTAAGGAGGAGGGATCCGCGGGATGCGCAATAGATTTTAGTGCAGTTAAGGATGGAGAGCTTGGGATACTTACGGGTGCCTCCACAAAGAAAATTTTTAAATTTGATCGAGTTTATACGCCTAAAGATGATCAAGGTATGCACCAATAAAACAAAATCCATTGTTTTTTTGAAAATGTTTATCAGTCCCATAAAAGATGTTTTGCAGACTGCAGACATGTATCACAAGTTATTATACTCATTCAGACTCATGGTTCAATGGGAGAAATAAAGATTCTTGTTCTAATCTTTCCCTGGTTGTAACAGCTGACGTATTTGCGGATGCTTCACCTTTGGTGATTTCGGTGTTAGACGGCTATAATGTCTGTATATTTGCATACGGGCAAACAGGTACAGGAAAGACTTTCACGATGGAGGGCACAGAGCAGAATCGTGGAGTCAACTATAGGACTTTGGAGCAGTTGTTCAAAACTGTTGAAGAGAGGAAAGAAACTTTTACATATAGCATTTCTGTCACTGCCCTTGAAGTCTACAATGAACAAATCAGGGACTTGCTGGCCACCTCTCCAACATCAAAGAAGTAAATTCATAATCTTGATTACACCATACAATTGCTTTGAAGTTTTTAAGTGATAAGCTTAGGAAATGGTTATGTGATTTTGTCTTTCACTTTAGGTTGGAAATAAGGCAAGCTTCTGAAGGGGTTCATCATGTGCCAGGTATAACTGAAGCCAAAGTTGAAAACGTTAAGGAGGTTTGGGATGTCCTGCAGGTTGGAAGCAATGCAAGGGCTGTTGGATCAAATAATGTAAATGAACATAGCAGCCGATCTCATTGGTCAGTATTCAACTAATCTTTATTTTTATTATGCTTAAATATTGTTTGACTATGACCTTGAACCTTCTCTTGTCATAGAATTGCTGTGCGTAATGTAAGAGCCTGGAATTTGAATCTCTCTTTTACTTATTTTATATTTATATTTTGTGTGTAGCATGCTTTGTATATTGGTTAGAGCAAAGAATTTGGTAAACGGTGAGAGCACCAAGAGCAAGTTGTGGCTTGTGGATTTGGCTGGCAGTGAGAGGCTAGCAAAAACAGAGGTTCAAGGGGAACGGCTGAAGGAGGCTCAGAACATCAATAGATCACTTTCCGCTCTTGGGGATGTGATTTATTCTTTGGCAACCAAAAGTGGTCACATTCCATACAGGTTTTTATCTTTCTTCCATTCTGACATGACATGCCAGTTCTGTTGTACTGATTTGTTCACCGTGGTATTGTAGGAATTCCAAGCTCACGCATCTACTTCAAGATTCCTTAGGTGAGCAGCAGCTTGAAAAAATAGTTTCACGTTCGAATTGCCTGAAGTGTTTCAAGTATTAGTAGACAATAATATGACGTGGCCATTTTTCTCTGGTTCATTATGAGATGAACGCTCACCTTTCACAGAGTATTCTTTTACTGGCAAATTATGTATTAAAGTCCTGAACTATATCAGTACATGCAAGAAAACAGGAGCTGACTGAAATGCTACAAAGGGGTTAAAAATTCAAATGATTCAAATGCTACTAAGGGGTTAAAAATTCAAATGATTCAAATGCTACTAAGGGGTTAAAAATTCAAATAAGTGAAATGCTACAAAGTGGGTTAAAAATTCAAATGCAGTTCTTACAGTCTAAATACAATGACGTGGATAGTATTTTTTTACTTAAGAAGTTTAAATGCTCAGCATCGCTTGTTAAAATCTTTCATCAATGTTTTGCAGGTGGTGATTCCAAAACATTGATGTTTTTACAAATCAGCCCTTCAGAGCAAGACCTGGGCGAGACACTAAGTTCATTAAATTTTGCAACTCGGGTTCGGGGCGTTGAATTAGGCCCTGCAAAGAAACAGATAGATACCGGTGAACTTCAAAGGCTGAAGTTGATGGTAAGTTCATGGATGGCTTGGTGAAGTGCTATTTTCTCTATATACACTAAAGTTGTAGATCTTTGATTTCTTACATTGTATGGACAAATAAATCTACCCTTTGTCCTTACACAGTTTTTAAAATTTTCTCCTTTTTTGAAGCTTGAGAAAACAAAGCTAGAATTGAGATCAAAGGATGATGCATTACATAAGTTGGAAGAGAACCTTCAAAACTTAGAAGCTAAGGCCAAAGGCAAAGATCAACTTTTCAAAAACCAACAGGGAAAAGTCAATGAATTTGAGAGCCAACTTGAGTCAAAGACAGAGTTAATCAAACAGCTTGACAAACAGTTGTTGCAACTTTCAGAAGGAATAAAGGGGAAGGAAGAAACTTGCTCGAATGTTCAGCAAAAGGTTGCTCGTCCAATTTGTGATTTTAATATCATGTTTTTCCTTTGTAGTCGGTAAGTAAAGCCGCGTCATATGACACAACTTTTTATTCTTACCAAAGGTGAAGGAACGTGAGAACAAGCTGAAGGAGCGTGAGCGAGCAGAGACCATGGCTCTTCAACACAAGGTTTTTGCGGAAAATATGATATCTCTATTTTGTTTTTCATAGAAGTCTGTCTGTAACTTAGAATTTGGTTTGAGGTTCTTTAATGTTAGCTAGCTTGAAAAAAGATTTGACTGCAAGCTTTTCTTACGTTGCAGGTCAAGGAGCTCGAAAACAAATTGAAAGAGAGGACACGAGAATTTGAGAACATAATGAAAGAGAGAACACAAGAATTTGAGGTTCATTCAGGGATTCTTCAAAAAAAGGTGATTGGAACTTAACAAATTGTTAAATTTAACGATTCTTTCCTATCAAAAGAAATACTGCAATGGGTAAATTTGTTTTATGTTTTGGCAGATTGAAGAGCTGGAAGGAATGTTAAGGCGACAAGAAGCTTTTTCTTATTCTGAAAAGTTGGAAGTCACGCCGCTTAATTTAAGAGTGGAAACTATACAGGACATGGATGTCACAAGTCTTAAGAGCTTAAACTCCAATGACAATAACAGAAGAAAAAGTATGGGTTCAGACTTGCTCAAAGGAACAGATTCTCTCCGCGAGCTAAGGAGAAAAAGACAGATCCAAAGCAAAGGGACAGAGAACAATTTCTTATTAACAGCTTCATTAGTGGAGAAGAAGTTATTGACAGGTGAATCAAATAAAGTAAAACATGTTGACTCATCTAAAGCATTGGCAAGGATGACAAGAAGTACAAAAGCAGTTAGTGTTACTACTACTCAAAGGACACTTCCAACTATTAGTAAGGATGGTAGTAGCAAGTTGAAAATGTGGTTAAGATAGTTAAGGGACGAACATATCAACCCTCACATGTAAAATCCATATTAAGCCTGTTGGATTATATCATACTCTGCAATTTACATGTCTAGTCTAACCTTAGTTTCGTTTGTATGATTGATTGATAATCAACATTCACTTCTCGGCAAGTCCTTCAGATAGAACCGATTTAAAGCTGTGATGTTTGTATGAATTATGGTCAAACAATATCAGCAAAATATTAAGACAGTATTTCAAGTGCTGGGTAATAGGGATTGAGAACCAACTTGATTCAAGGACATGGAAAGGGACTGAAATAGATATAAAAGCATTAACACCTCATGAAGATAAACGCATTGCCAAGATCAATATACTTAAATAAGGTATCAGCAATTGTGGCTACTACAAATCGCTTTTAAAGTTAATTTTCCCAAAGACAAATACACTTCATCTAATCCCTGAGCTTTATAAACAATTGGCTGCAGCGGCAACTGTATAATGATGCTTAACAATCTTCATTATGTGAATTCTATACCTTTTCCAATATTTTCTTGGAGAAACATCAAAATCACCAAACCTAGTAAACAGGATATTGAAGACTAAAACGGGATAAATTAATAAAAAAAGAGATAAATTTGAATAAAACTAAAGAAAAAAAGAAGAAAAAATCAAGGGCAGGTTGGCAAATTTAAAAACTGCCATAAGCATTTCCCATAGCCAATAAGACTGTACAGTATATAAACATGTATCGACGCGACATATGACATCCTCCCATTTCCTCCCCGTTGCTGAATTTTGACATTTATAAATATTATTATCTACATGACTAATTCTGATGTCCCACCTGTAATTTCTAACCAAATCCGAACCCTTCGTTGCCTTCATGAATTGCCAGCAGCAGTCTCTCCTCTAGATGTTGTTTAGAAGGATACTCCGGCAAATCTAATTGATTGAAACTGCAGAAATCAAGTGGCTCATGTCAGTAAAGTCTTTCCACAAAAACGGACTTGGTCCATACTGTTAAAAAACTCCAGCAAACAAAAAGTTGTGAACTTATGACAGATTGTAGTTCAATTAAGTGTAGAAACTGAGAGAAATTTTAGATTACCAAGTATGAGCAGATGGCAAATGTTCTGAGCTGCCATAAGCCTTGTGTATTTGAAACTTTTGTGAGCCTGAAATTCCTTGTAGAGCACTGAAACCTTCCAAGGGCACCTAAAAGAGTTGTCAATAAAAAAAGTGAGACAACTAGATCCCTTTTTAGTTCCCCATGTCCAACAATTACAAGATACTTATGCAGATGCAATAAAATGGTGAAAATATTTAGTACATGGTGAGATACAATTTTTTTTGTTTCATTGACAAGCTCAAGAACATAAAGACAAAACTCATTATAATCTGTTTTATTCCCCTTGATATACATTCTATTCAAAAGGAATAGTCAAAAACAGGCAGGGGTTAATTGCCTAAATGCAGTCACACACATAAATATCAAATTAATAAATATCTAAGTAACTGAATGCAATAGAAATTCAAAAAGAGAGAGAAGATGATAACCTTTGACGTGCCAGTCACAAACTGTAGAAGACGAGCCTTATCCTCCTTGCTGAACCCTTGAACAACCTCCCAAAACCACTGTATGGCAGGAGATGCAGCACTGTACCCAGAATATTCTGTATTTGCCCTCATGTCATCCACTGAAAGACATTGACAGCAGTACGTTTGTTTAGAGTTGCATCTTAGAATTATAAAGGAATATTTATAAATAAAAAAGGTGGCAAGACTTAAAACTATCAGATGGAGAAGGCCAAAAGTAAATAATAATTTACTGAACTCACAGTCAATATCTGGAAGTCCACTGATCAACAATTCCAATTCCTTGTCGTTGAAAATAGATATTAATTCCCTAGGAATTAGTTCGTTAAATCCTTCCAGGAAAGCATTTATTTGAGGACGAATAGCAGTTGTCAAACGATGCTCAGCAACTAGATTAACATATTGGTGCTTATTCTCTTCAGTAACCTTCATATTTCGTCCACCAGGAATTAGTTCATAGTCGGTTACCTGCATCATTTTCAGGACACCATAAAAATGAGGAACTATTTTTTAACAGTACAAGCAGTTACTGAAACAATCAAGTAAGATCATTACTTGTGTTCTTTCATACAAAATCAGCTTCTCCTCATCAGCATCGATGCTGAAAGTGAGATGTAGAACATCACTTATATCATTCTGCAAAAAGGTAAAAGGAGTAACCAGTAAGACAAGCTAGACAAAGGCAAAATTAGAGTAAACTTGAAAGACATGACAAGATGAGAAGGCATACCTCAAGCATCCACTTCAGGTTTTTGAAGTAATCAGGATCAATAGCTTCAATGTCAAGATAAGTTACTTTAACCCCAAGGATATGCTTGTAGAAAGATCGAGTAAAATGAACATCCAAAAGTTGTCCATCAAAAAGCGCTTTTCCAACCTAGATATGATAGTAAGGAATGAGCTAAAAGCAAACAATCAGTAGATCAATATAACTTAAGCAACTAAAAGTAGTACTCACAACTCGCCCAACAAACTTAAAATATGAAAGATGTTCTGTTTGGTAGACAGAGTTGGGGTTGGGCTGGAATGTTGATTCATTGCCCACGGTTGTGAAAAGTAGGGCTCCCTTGTCAAAAATAACCCTGGACAGCAACTGGTACCATTCCCTGGTAAGACCACCCGCATCAATACCTTCCTCTCCTTGAAAGTTAACAGTCAACCTTCCTTTCAAATCTTGGGTTGATCGCATACGCAGTTGGTTATAAGAATCTTCAAGAATGTAAGCTCTTCTTACTGAAATTCTTAAAGGACTGTGATGATGATCATGTTGATGCTTTATTTTTGATCTGAAGTGTGCACGTTTATTGTCAAAATCAACAAAGCGAGGAACCTTGAGCATGAGTGAGAAAGACTTCTCCAGGAGCCCAGGATTCTGACGGATGAAAGCATTTAGCAGCTTCCTGTGTTTCTCAGAGAACCTCACAAAAGCCATTTGCTTTTCATCTACTTTTGAGATGGGCCCTGCAGTCTTCTGCTGGGCAGCAGATGTGCTGGCATCTTCGACCTCAGAAACAACAGCAATACCAAAATCGTGACCAGACCCTGGTTGTGCAGGATGCAGCTTCTCACACATCACAAAGAAAGATTCTATATATGGTAAGATGTTCTGAGCACCCGCAGGAAGTGGCGAAATAGCACTAGATGGTTTGGTGGTGGAATTTCTCGATGTAGTTGGCACTTCAGGAGAAGAATCTGAATAGCTCTCTATTTTGCTTATACAAGTACTCAGCTCCAACCACAACGGCTCTAAAGCTGTGTTAATGTCCCATACCTGAGAAAGAGCAGCAGAATGCTCCTTTTCAGGAAGAATCAGCTGATCCTTCTCCTTCTCAATTAGGGAGCCAACAAGAGAGCTAAGTGCTTGCAGGACCCTTAAAATTGCAGCTCCATCAGAAGATGATGTACTGAGAAGTGCTTTCACAGCTTCACCGAACACACGTAACTCATCTATACCAGATTTAGTCAACTTTTGTACTGCATCTGCTAGCTCAGTGATAAATAATTGACAATGAGTGGGAGCAATTACCACCAACTTATTCATTACCTCCGCCACCAGAGAATATGCATTATCTGACAACCTGAGCGAAAGATGCAATGTCAGATTAAGCATGAAATATAATCATAACAATAACAGCAGCTGCTTGCAAGAGAAATTAAATCATATAAAATCAAATATTTTGAGAATGAAAACATAAGAATCACAGTGTGTGCAATAATAAGGGAAAAGTAGCCAACAAGACATGATTATCTTTCATGTTCATAAATGCAAGATGAGAAGAACCATAAACACAGCTGATAACCGGTGAGCAAAGAGACTACATCAGCACACAAAGACACAGAGGAGAGAGCATACCAATAACAACAGTACTTGCAAGAGAAAATAAACCATACAGCATCACACATTTTGAGAATGAACACATAAGAATCAGTGTGCATAAAATACAGTAAAGGATTACATCTGAGCACACAAGACAGAGAGAGAGCACACAAATGAATCTCTTTCATATTCATGATTGCAAGCAGAAGATGAGAAGATATATAAACAAATTCGAAAATTGATGTGCTAAAGGACTACATCACAGCACACAAGAGAGAAAGCTAGATATAAAGATTCATTATACCCTTCTCGCGCAAGCAATGAGCACAGAAGTCGAAGTTCAGTTTGAGGCAGGTTAAGCATTACACTTTGAACATCACATTCATCGTTTTCACATGAAGTTATAGATTTGGAATCAACGTTGGATGATGAAACAGAAATCCCAGAGGAAACAACATGAGGTTCTGCATTCATGCCACCCACTGATGCAGGAACTGGAGGAGGTTGCTGTTCTGTTGTAGATGCCCCTGATTTGTCTGGTAAATTGCTTTCAGCATTGTCCATAATGACCCCCAATAAATTAAGCAGCTGAAAGAAAGAACCGGAATGAGCACAAAACCAACACAGCCTGCAACATAACTGAAAATATATAAAGGAAAACAGACATCAGATTGGAAGAAGCATAACCTGTTCAAGATGTGCTATACTCCTCAAATACAGGGGTTGGTTCAAGAGACTCAAAAGCAACATTATGGATATATATCCTTCTTGCTGTTTTCTATCTATTTCATAAGGTTCATCCACCATAACAGCTTTGCCACGACCCTCATCAATCTTCTCTGGCTCTTGCAGGGGAGGGAGAGGCAGCCTAAACTGAAGCAAAATCTTTGCAACAAAGGGATGGTTACGAGCCAAGTATGTCAGAGTTTCAAGAATACGCCTAGAAACCAAAGGAGGAACTCCTACAAAGGAAAAAAGAAAACCATATAAAAGGATGGCACTCTGACAAAAATTGCAAAAAGACAATCACCAGATCAAAATTCCTCAAAACAATCAATACTATACTCAAGAATCTACAATTTGAAAATACATACAATAAATACATGTATATGTATTCAAATTAATTACCATCAAAATGTTGGGGACGAGAATACATCACATTATTCTGGCAAGCATAAAGACGATATGGTGGCTCAATAGCATTTAAATAATTTGCTGGCTTTCTTGTATCAAGCATCAGCATGTCCATCAGGATTCTAACCATAGATGTTCTGGTTTCACTATGCGCACATAAATTCAAGAGAAGCC